ATTTTATTCAGGGAAAATAAGATGTTAGGAGTGCCCAATATTTCAAAAAAATAAGTTGCCACTACAATGACGCGACATTTTTGGATTAAACTCTCTCAGAAGGCATGATGATTAAAATACAAACCAGAGCAATCCTCATAGTACTGTTTTTGGTTGATAAACTATGGATCTAATTAGTAGCTGTGAGAGACTAGTTGGTTTCTTGGCTTGGCATGCAGCAAAAATATCATTTCCAAATTAAAATGGGTCAATGTTAACTTTGCATAAATTTCGAAGGTGATTGTTTTAAAACGTGATATTTTTTCACTATGAATGAAGTGCTTGACTGATTATTAGTTCCCATATAAACTTCTTATCATGAAGTGGCTATTGTGTTCTGAGCTCTGTGTTTTTGGTACATTCCCAATTTTCAATGTTGTAACTTGGTGTACATTTAGTAGTAAATGCTTATCTGCTCTTGTAGCCTGGGATGAGTCAGGACTCTCAGAGGCAGATGATTGTGTCTGACCTTCAGATGCAGGCTTCACCAGGTAGCAGCCAAGGAGTCTCTCCTTTTGGTGGTAAAAATTCTCCTATTCCGAACCAGACAGCTTCCCAACATGTTTCATCCTACCCCGTCCATCATCAGCAGTCACACCCAGTATCCCCCCAACAGCCCCAAGTTCTTAGCTCTCTTCACTCACATCTTCAAGGAACAGCCAATCATCCTCCCAATGCCCAGCAGCAAGCCTATGCAATGCGCCTAGCAAAAGAGAGACAAATGCAACATCGTTTTCTCCAGCAACAACAACAGCAATTCACTGCCTCTAATTCCTTGATGCAACATGTACCACAACAGCCACAACTTCCTATTTCATCGCCTTTACAAAATAATTCCCAAGTTCAGTCTCAATCAAGCTCTCCATTGGGATCACATCCTCCGTTAACATCTGCTTCAATGAACTCAATGCTGCAGCACCAGCAGAAACATCAAATGCATAGTGCTGAAACTGTTAGCAGTGCCAATCATATAGGCAAGCAACGGCAGCGGCAGCAGCAGCATCAGGTTTTGCATGGTAATAGGCCACATCCTCACCAGCGACAGCAGTTACAGGGTCAACAGGCTAAACTTTCAAAGGGAGATGGAAGAGGAAACTTGATGCATCAAAACATCCCGGTTGACCCCTCCCTTTTGGATGGCATGTCAATGAATACAGGGAACCAGTCTTCAGAGAAAGGAGAGCCGACCACACATTTAGTGCAGGGCCAGAGTTCATATCCTGGGCCACCACTAAATGCTGTGCAACCAGCGAGGCAATATGTGACTTCGCAATCATCTAATCAATCTCTGCCTCAGCATAAGGCATATTCTGGCCCAGTATTTTCATCTGCAAAACACCCACCTCAAATGCCTTCTCATTCTGATACTAGCAGTGAAGGTCAGGTTCCACTAGTTGCCGCTGCTTCTACTTCATCTGCTGGCCATCAATCCGTTCCAACTGCGACCATGGCTTCCTCCAATCACCAACAGGCACCGCCTCACCAAAAGTTTCTGAATCAAAATCCAGAGTTCCTTCAGAGAGGTTTTGAACAAAATCCAAAACCTAATTCTGACCCTCCAAACAAGCCACAAGCGAGAGATCATCCTGAACAGCATGCAATAAGCAGTTCTGAGATGGGTCCCACGACAACATTGCCCCAGGTCTGTAACAGTGCAACTATTGTAGCACAGGTCATTTCTCCTCCTAGTATGCAGCGGAATGGTTCAGAGCCATCATTTGATTCTGATACATCGAATGCACCAACAAATTTGGGTTCCTTGGTTCCTCCACCAGTGAGTTCTAATGAGTCCGTGACTAAAAACAGCCAAGGGCCTGGTCAACGGCTGTCGTCAACCAGCTTACCCAAAATTGGACATGATGTTAGTGCACAATGGCAGCAGCAACCTTCAAAACTACAACCACCTCCTTCGCCAGTACCCAAGCCTCAGCAGCAGCAGCCACAGCTCCTGCAAGCGGGGAATGGTAGTCCTAGTGACCCTAGACTGGAATGAAGGACACCTAACGGATGCATCACAGGGGTCGGGGGTGATTGGTCCTGCCTGGGTTAGGTCAACTTACACTTGAGACGGCAGTGTAAAGGTTAGTCTGTACCTTGATTCCATTTATCTATGACATCAGTTGACATGCATGGACTATTCACTGCTTTATTTAGGTCTTTGTATGCTTATGCAATTCCACTTACAAGATAATGGTCGACCCGAAAGAACTCTTGTTTTTCTGCCCTTTAGGGTTTCAAGTTCTTTCTGTCTATACACTGTTTGTTTGGGAAAAAAATATAAGGAAATTAGAATGAAGATGAATAATGGGTCCCGCCTAACTGTGTTGATAATAAGTGTGTAGTAATTATGAATGTATGGTTAAAATTGATGATTGACTTGGACTTTAAATTACAAGGAAATCATTACCATACATTGTCAAAATGAAAACTGAAAATATTTCCTTGAAGTCCCACAGTGTTTACGCCGACAACAGCAAACTACTACCCAGTTTCAGTATTATTGCCATTTTGATCTCTTATACGTGCTTCTATTTGGCTTTTTGCTCATTAAAAATTCCTATACTCTCTATGCGGAACAATATCCCGACTGTTTTTGGCATTGCAGTTTGAAGCTTATGGTTCTATACAGGCATGGAAAGATGACGAGTTGGTCAAAGATTAGAGTCTCTGCAATTCGGCAAAGAAGACTTTGGGGTATTTTGTACATTATTTTTACTCTAGGGCTTGGGGAAGATAAGAGACATGATAGAGGTAGGTGTACATAGTCTCATCTCTCCTTTTTTTATGGCTACTTTCTCTCCAACGCCTATTTATTTTCCTGCTGAGTTAATGAGGGGCCCTATTTGTTTTTGCCTCCGTAGATCCACCGTGTATTATTTCCCGTGTTAAAAGGGAGTTATTTCATTGTTTTGGCCAAAGGCTGTAGGAATATTGTGAATATTAGTCGTCTGGTTACATGCCTCGAGCCCATGCAATTTTTGTACACATTTGTGTATAGGAAGGAGTGATGTATTTAAAAGCCCACAGGACGAGTTTGGTTTTATGTTAGGGATAAATACTATGCAATGCTATGGTAGCCATTTGTGACCTTTGGAAATTGCCAGGAAAAGCGAAGAAAAAATGCTCCTCTTGAGAAAAAACGTGATGGGTTGTCTAGAGAGGCCTTGTGATGTGTGCTAGATATCGATATGTCAATATTAAGAAATGTACAATAGAAAATCACGAGTTCAAGTCGAGATCTTTAGTTATGCAGGAACTTACTCGACATTTACGTTAATCTATTGGTGCATATAATTCGTTGATATTGCGTAGAGAAATGAGGCCAATCTCTCTATATATTGATGTTTGTAGTTGCCCAAGGGCGGTGACAAGTTCACACGTCTCTTCCCATTAACTATATTTATCTCTCGTTTGTTTAGATGAAAATAAGATTCTCAATAGATTTTGATAAAAATTGAGGAAATGTGTGATTGAAAAATTGCGAGTTCTATATGCAGTTAAAATTAATTGTTGACTTTGACTTAATTTTAATCAAAGTTTTTAGCTGAACCAAACGAGTTTATTCTATTGTTTAAGTCTTTATAATGGGGTTACAACTAATTTTTTTGATGTAATTCTGGAAGTGAGGTTATCATGTCTCATGTCCTTTGTTTATTATCGATGATCGATGGTATGAAAATAGTCATGCTATATATACATCAAGTATGACATCATGCGGGTTGACATGTTTTTGTATATTGATTTTCAAAATATTTTTTGCAACCAATGGTTAGATTTTCTATATATAGAGGGATGTCAACCTTGATGTCAACAAGGAATGTACAAGAAGCATGCTTTTAACCACATTCAGTGGGATGCGCAACTTTTTAATCAGATGTTTCATTAATTTTTTTATCAAAATTTATTAAAAATTTGATTTTAATGTCCATCAAACATGAACTTAGTGATGGACTTAGCCCACTAGAGTAACAGACACACAAGCAGCTCTCAGCCCAATGAGAAAATACTGTAGCTTCAAATGATTAGAGTCGTTCCTCTAGTTATTTTTGCCCATAAAAAGGGTTCATTTCCATTGAATTCGAGGCACATTCACTAGCAAAAATACACAGTTCATACCAGTACTTTGCTTCGACGTCACTGAAAATCCGTAAAAAAATCCATCTTGTAATACTTGTTAAGTTGATTAGGAAAGTGCCACATCATTTTCTGATATCGACAAGATTCATTGCACAATGATGTCTAAGAGAAACAGTTGGTCATGGTTAATCTTGTACAAAGAGCACCCATATCACACTTCGGCAGTTAAAGCCAGATTCAAGCTAAGAACTTGAAACAAATCAGCTGGAGTTGTCAATTATAGAAGCAATAATTTACAATCTAACAAAAAGCACTTGTACAAATTCCAAACAAATGAAAGGAACCGTCCCAGGAAAGACTGATTCATCTACGAAAAGTTATAGAGAAGCTAGGCAATGACAAATCAATGATGTAAATCAAGACAAGCAGCATGATAAGCCATCTTGAAAGTTATAAACAGAACCAGTAGCAGTAGCAGTTGTTGAGGTCCTGTTTACAGCAATGGAACTAAGCACAATTATGAACACACTGGTCCTATATAGTAAAGAACATGGACAATGCGGATTCATACATATAATATGTTTCATAAAAGTTCAGTAACATACTGAAAAACATCTGAATGTGATATACTGAAACATTATTAGTTAAATTTTGCTTGTGCATTCATTCTACAAAGAAATCCCACAACAATGAAAAAAAAAAACAATTTACACTTCGATAAATTTCTAACATGCAATGAAGAAACAGCTAACTGATGAAACTGAACAATTGTCTGTACACTACAGATAACACCTGAAAAACAATAAAAGGGTCGTGGATTTATGTGATTACATCATTGGATCATAATTATTTCTGAAAACCTAAAGAATTAAGCTGTCAAAACATTAACCTTCATATTTCTTATGAGCTCCAAATGCTCTTCCAATGGTATCAATAATCTTCATTTGTGCCTCAAGAATCATATCCATCCTCTTCTTTTCCATCTCCATACGGTACCTCTGCGTTTCCCTCATCATCTCAATCTTCTTATTCTCCATTTTCATAAATTTCTCCGCGAAACCCCTTATTTCCCCGGCCAATTCCAGCCCTCCATCTCCTATGCCATTCCCCATCTCCTCTCGTTCCTCCTTTACTTGCATCATTTTCTCCTCTTCATTGTCATCATCATCCTCAGTGTCCTCGTAATTATACCTTGTTCGCTTCCCATTCATGGGATTTCTCAAGGCCCTCAAAACCCGATCACTGCCCTCATTAAAACCCCTATCCATCCCCAATTTGCTACTATTTCTAATCCCACTCTTCACACCCACCTCCCCACGCACTAAATTGTTAATACTCTTCAACTTGTTCTTCTTCGCCTCCACGCCATAACTAACATTCCACTCCTCATCACTGTCATCAGAATTATTATAATCACAATCCGCCGCACCAGAATATACGCTACTATAATTATTAATGTGATTATTACCATCACTACTATTGTTATTCGTAGTATTCGGGAACTTAACTACAGCCACAGGGCGGGCATTCAGGGGCAGTGGACCGCGTTCCATTTGATCCATTAGCTCAAAATACTGCCACGAATTCGGATAAGGCTTGAGCCGCTCAGCCCGGTACCGTTTTCGGAGCTTCTCAATCTTGTGGCGGCATTGCGTTGACGTCTTTGATGGCTCGTCATGCCCGCATCGGGCTGCAACCGTGACTGCCACCTCCTCCCATTGGGATGCCTTTAGCTGGCCCTTCTTGAGAGAGTACCATTTTTCTTGGTAAGCTTGGATTAGGTTAACTGTTTCCTGGTGGTTCCAGGGGAGGGGTGGGGTTTTCTTAGGGGGCGATGGTAGTGCTAATACGGATTCCGGTCCCGCTAAGGATAAGGGTTCGCGTTTGGGCGAAGCGGAAGAAGAGGGTCTGGGGGAGTCTTCGGAGTGAGTACCGGTAGGTGGTGGTGGGAGGGGGAGGAGGGCTTGTGGAGAGGAGGATAGCGGAGGGGGAGAGGAGGGAGGCGAAGCCATGGGTGTTGGGATGTGATTTTTGAAGTTTGGGGAGTGAATTTTATAGCATGTGGTGGGTGGCGGTGGAGACGGCGGTGGTTGGGGTTTGGTGGTGGGTGTTTTAGGTTGAGCCTGCCCTGGAGGATTTCTAACGTGCGGCAACCCGTATGGATTAGGGTGTTGAGAGGGGATCACCTTCGGTTCCTTCTTCTACAATTCTCTACAGTGATATATGTTTGAACTGAAATCGCATGCCCATAATCATGGGGGCACTCCATGAAGGGGGAAATTAAGGTGGAATGGCTGATGGAGTTCTTTTATTTTTATTCTTTGATATTATAAATACAATTTTCCAATTTAACCAAAGGTGCCTTTGAGAATCGACAATAGCTAAGCATTGTGGCTATTATAGTTCAAACTATGTGTGGTTGACGTACAACCTACATACTTCCAATTTTCCGTAGGTAAATGCATCATAAGATAAAGAAATGTTTTGTTAAAGAAAACGTCTTTTTTGCTTTCCAATTTGTAGTATAAAAGCACAGATTGGACAAATCAAGAGCTTTGGTTCAAAATTATCTCGATTCATCCCCTTATAAGAAATTGACAAAACATCTTACTCGTTACTCATTCTAATATAAATGATTAGTCAATCAAATAATATGTAATAATTTGGACCGCAATACTATTAGGACACAACAATGCCAACAATGTACAAGAAGTTGAAATAGACCAACTCGAAGACTATGAATTTACCAATAATGATTGATTAATGACTCAAAATGCAGTACAAATGTAAGAAAATAATCAATTAGACAGTACGACACAAGAATTGTTCATTGACTCTAATTAAGCGATGTAAAACTCAATAATATTAAAAATTCTAACTTGAAAGGACCATTTGATATCTGCTTTATTCAGATTTCTTCACAGCAGAGGAAACAGATTGGATGTGTATTTGTTTCTACTTTGAAATCAACCTACAAACTCTAGAGGTTAAGACTTAGAGTGTGAGAAATCAAGGACAAATGTTAGGAGAAACCCCTCAAACTCTTGTGAATATGTCATTTTCAGTAGCTGACAAAATTTGAATTTAAAGGGAGTACTCAGTTTGCTTTACAAAACGTAAAATTGTATGATATATCAATTTATTGCAATCCTCGTCTGTGTTGAAGTTTGAAACTGCCACTGAAAACCTGAAGAAAAGAAGAAAGAAAATGCATGTGAGAGACAGACGGAGAGAGAGAGAGAGACATGATGTTGGAAATTGTTCTGTAACTTCCCACCAACATCGAGTATGGTTGGTGTTTGAAAATCAGTGAAACAGACTTCAAGCTAAGTGAACTTCTGATTAGTAATCACGCCGATCTACTGGTCTTAAATTGTGTTGGAAGGTCACAAGTAAAAAAAATTACCTAGAGGGGCTCATATTAAAGAACGATTTCCCTCTTCGATATTCCAAGCATCAGGTTCTGTGAGGTAATGACTTGCTGCTTCTTAGCCAACAAGATCTCGTCCCCTGGCATTGGTAAAGACACATTGTCAATTTCTGCCATAAATGGTGCCATGAAGGATTTAAAAACACTGATCATGATCATGTTGAATAAGCCTTTCAAGCATTTCCTTTTAAAGTACCACCTAGCCAGACAAGCCATAAAGAGTAAGTGAGAGCTCACTTTTAGACTGGATTCCTTTAGAGTCTCCAATGACTCAGAAAGCTCTACTTGTTTCGAGGCTGTTGCAAACAGTGCCTGAATACAACAGTTTACTTCCGTCAATCAACAATTACATTTATGCACCATGTCTTGAAGATTGTATCGACAGTGGAAAAAAAGGAAGAAAAAAAAAAGCTTACACTTTTTGTCTTCTGCAAGTCGTGCTCTATGGATTTTATGCGATTCAGAGATTCAAGTAGGATATCATCCTTCTCTGGGGGAATTTTCGCAGGTTTCTTCAACAGTTCAGTGACGACATTCTCCAAGTGTTGCAACTTCTCACAGCATGGATGGAGAAGCTCCTTACTATTTGGCAGTGAAACGTGTTGTTCCTGAGAATTTGAATTTGTAGAATTGGTTCCTCTTTGATTTTCCACAAGGTTAGCTGAATTTGACTTCGTGAAAAATCTTCTAACCAGCCCAGCAAGCAACAAAGATATGCATGCAAGAAATCTGACTATAAGAACTTGCCTTCTTTCGGGGACATTCCTAGTCAAATCTATTGCAATGGACAGATGTAAGATTATACACGGTAATGATACAACACAAACGGGATTACTTCTTCGACATAGACAACAAAAGGTCAAATTAGAACTCCCAAGACCACTCACCGATGCCACATTTTATTATCAATGGGATTTTTTATCATAAAGACAGAAGAAAAAAGTGGTGATTTATGCAAAAAAAAAAAGGCGCATGGCTTACTGAACAGCACAATACTTTCCAAGTCTATTGTCCAACAAAAGAATGACAAAATTAATGAGTTTGATGCAAACGCAAAATGCAAGCAATAACATAGCGTTACAAGTTGATGCCCAAATGGAGAAGAGGTGAATTCCAAACACTATTTTGCAAGAGCTTCAACAGTGAAAATAGTACTGCTGTGTATCCAGATTGAATGTCCATAACAGTATGAAAGAAAAGCATAAATGGAAGTCCCAAGGGATAAGGACTAGCTTCGGTTTCTTACTTGAAGGACAATAATTTTCAACTCTATCCCCAACATGTATAGGTCCAATTTTGCCATGTAAGGATGCAGGTCTCCCTACTGTTTCCTGAGTCAGTCAAGGTAAAAAGCAGTAAGATCGAGCATAAATAATGTCAGTGATGTGATGCCTCAACACTATATTTAGTAACATTTATGTACATAAAAGAATGAGTACATTGCGCATCGCAAAAAATAAGGACAATGGAATATGCAATTTATCATATGTTGGCCACAGAATAGGTACTATCTATATACTTTAAATAGAAGGAGAAAAGTGAAAGGAATTAGTTTGAAGTCTATTGAAGTTAAATGAGGTGCAAAATTCAAACACAAGAATTTGTAGATGAGTGGCGTCGCCTTTAAGTGACTTTTTTCCCCTAGGAAGGCGGTGATGAAGGTTTGGACTTTGAACATGAACACTTGTCTCGTGCATTAGTTGATTCCTTTTCATGGAAGAAAATAAGTTAAAATGGTGCTAGGAGAATGTTCGGTGAGCAAAGCTTAAAAAGTTAGTAAGTAAATAAGTTTGTTTCAAAAACATTGGTGAAAGTTGGAAATAAACATTAAAAGAATAACTTTTCATACGCCTTGCAAAACACGCTCTACTACTGCAGACGTGTGAGTAGGCCTGTATAAAACTTTTTCAGCAACCACTGCTATTCCCTACACAAAATATCAATATCATTGGTCTATACATATTATCTTTCTTTGTATACATAAATATACATCATGCTACTCATCATTCCGATGTTTCTTTTTCTAGGTAACTTGGTCCCTGTTAATCTCCTTTAACATCATGAACCTCACAGTAAAACAATGAAGTATTCTCTTCAAATTTTATTTCAATTTAGTTATTTTTTAAGCATGATACATTTAATTCTAACAAACATGTCCTCTTGATTCGATCTGCCTCTTGGACCAACTCTAGTTGATATATTATGTGCAAAACACCACCAAAGATTCAAAATGAGTAATCTCCTATCTGTAACAAGCAATTCTACAAATTTCATAAATGTTGACTCCAACAAGTACTCCAATATGCTGATGTGTTGAGGTTCACATCTGAGAAGCATAGATCGGATAAGAGGCTAAGCAGGCTTCCAAAATTAGCAAGCTTAAGGAAATAAACTCTACCTGGGACTTAAAGAATCACCGTTTGATAGTGGGCAAATGCAGGCAAATACAAAAGAAACCATCAGAAGTTCAGGAGACATGAGACTACATCCTATTATTTTAAAGTGAAAACATATTAAAAAAATCTATTATTATTCAAATAAATACTTGTCAAAATGACAATATATGCACAAATTGATACCTACAGATCTTCCTCAAGTACTTTACAGGTGACCAAATGCTTGTCACTCCACATTACATAAACAAGCCATCGGATTAAGCATCTCATCTGCTTAGCAATTAAACCTACTTGTTCCAACAACATATCTTCATTTCATATTTGAGGAAGACCAACCAACAGAAAATACTTATGTTATTTACTAAAGGCGTTCAAGGAAAAATATTTCGTGATCACATATTTGACATCCTTTGATTTCAGATCATTTATATTGCCTTACAGGTTAAAACCTAGATGCAGCTTTCTTCTAGGAGTTTGAAGTACAGGAGAGAAAGTGTGATCCTATCATTCCCCTTTTGGAATGGACTAAACCAAGTATTCAATTTGGAAGCTCAGGTAAATGAAATGAGATACTGTAAAGGGAACATTATAACCTAATATCTCTTACATTATCACAAAGTGGAATTGTCTGCATGGTCCTGCAAGAAGAGAATTGTAAACCAGAATCTGGCCCATCAGGAAAAAATTCACTTTTTGCGCTCTGTATTGAGAGAAAAAATTGCATTACCTACAGCCTGAAGATGAATAAAAGTTGGTATATTAAATTAATCTACATCGGTCTTACCTTAGAATCAATTAGCTTAATGTTGAAATGACCACCATCAGTGAATTTGGTAACTGGAACAATTTCACTATTTGGGTCCTGTACAAAGTAGTTCCAATATTTCATGCATGTAAATGAGTAGAAGTTGGAGTATGTAATATTGTCAATAAACTGTTTTACCTTTGAACCAATTAGCTTGATTTCTAAATCATCGTCATCCTCTGAAAAGCTAGTAACTTTTTTTGGATAAGTAGCTTCACTAGCATGTAAAGCATGTACCAGCTGCAAGTACGAGTTGGATAACCCTGATTATATAAAATATTCTTAATTTTTGAATGCCAAATCAATCAGTGAGTAAAGCTGACAAATGGCAATGTTCAAACCTTAATAAGCTCTTGATCATTCCAGGGTCCCTTGTCAGAT